TGTTTAAAAATGCGTCCCTGGAAAGCCGGGCTCCCGCTCCCCGCGGCCACCAGAGCGGGCCTGGCCCGAGGGGCTGCCCCGTCCCCTCACGAAGGCGGGCCCCGCGGGACCCAAGGGTGTCTCGGGCAAGGTCGTCTGAGACCCCGCGAAATTTGCTTTTTATTACGGCGTCGAAGAGTAATGACCGCCGCAGAAGGGACCCGCAGGTAGCTAAAACTGGGTGGAAAGTCCAGCAGGCAGCAGCGTGTAACCATGGGTGTTCTGAGGTCTGTCAGAAACACTGTCCCGTTACAGCGTGATTTCCCCCCAAAAGGGTCCCTGGGCTTCCCTCACGGCTGGGCGCCGCCTCTCACCAGGGATTGGAGGGGTTTTGTTAGTTGTACTGATTGGGGAGTGCGAGAAATACCGAATTTGTGTGATAGGTGGGAAAAAATGATGTTATTTTTTTCTTCTGAAAACATTAGGAGATGACAAAGTTCCAAAAATGTTGCAAAGAGCCCTTGCCCAGCTGTCGCTGAGCAGCATGAAGTCTGCAAATGTATGCATAGGTCGTCCGGTCTTGCTTACATCTGCTGGTGGGCGACAGGAGGTGAGACTCTTTCTTGTTCCTATAAGTGCATTTGTTCTGCCTGCAGTGTGTTCCTGTTGTATTCCATAGGAGCATGCATTGAAAAAGATAAAGAATACGCTTTTCTGTGTTTTCTATGCTATAGTTACATCTTTATTCTCAGTACTGGAAAAAAATCAGTGCTGCTGATTTTTTTTCAATAAATTTATAAGACATGTATGAACATATATATTGTATAATATATATGCACATGCATGTATTTTATTTGCAAAGAAAGAGTATCGCCCTTTACTCTTCATTCTTCAGTCAGCACAGTGTATGTGCTTTTGTGTCATTGCAGAATGTGTAGAGTCCTGGTGGAATTTTTTATCTCCTTTGCAGGCAAAATATAACCCCTTCCTTCTTGAAGAGTGTCTTGGATCATATCTTAAGAACTCAGTGCTACTTGTATCTTACTCTGTGGCACCAGGTTTTAACCTAATCCTTCTTCCCCCTCAGCCCATGTTTTTTGTAAGAAAACATTGCTTACTTTAACTGGAGGACTGGAAATGGGGGGCAAAAATCTCAGCTGATGGTTGTCTGCTCTGAAACTTTTCCTAGGTCTGTACTGCTTGGCCCACCACAGGCTTTCCAGGTGGGAAAGTTGGGCTGAGTGAAACCACACAGAAGAATCTGAAAGTAAATCCAGGTGATGCCATCACTGTGCAGCCTGTGACTGGTGCAGTCATCCAGGCAGAGGAAGTCGATGTAAAGTTGAGGTATGCAACTTGTTATAACCTGGTGACGTACTGTGAGGTGTCTGCTTTGCACTGCAGACTCACCTCTTAAAGATGTCATTTTTCTGTCTTGCTTTGATGGAATTAGTACCCAGACAGGGTCAAAGATGTGCAGATGTTTATAGGATTAAGACTAAAGTTTAGGAACTGGTGGCTAACTGCTGCTAACTGCTACCTCTTCTGTGGGCAGCAGAGTTGCTTAGCTGTTGTACAAAATCTCAGCTGAGGAGCAGTGGAGAATATAATGACACTAAGCTCATCAGTCTTAAGATTCTTTGTTTTATGTTAAATTAGTGAATAGTAATGATAGCCCAGCAGAGGTCAAGCTGCCTGCATTGCATTTGCATTAGGCAAGGTTGTATAACTGTATGATCAAGGCAGATTCTTTAAAGCTGTAAATCACTTGTAAAGGATGAGGATGATGTCTGCACATAGAGTTGATGTCAGATTAGAAGGAGCCCGTGTTGCTGCTGTTGTCATTAGGAAGTGTACAGCAAACTGCTATCTGAGAAACTCTTCTTGAAAAGTCAAGTTGTGGTTAAGAGAACTGCTGGCTGACAGGTTAGGGAGGGTGAAATGATTCTTTTCTTAATCACTTCCCTTCAAAATGTCACCTTTGTATATATGTGGTTTCGTGCTCTGCTTTTATTTATTGGAATATTTTTTTAGGATTTGAAACTCTGAGGTACGTTTTTGGTTTTTTTAATTGGAATTCACCCCAAAAAGGGAGCAAAAAGTGCAAATCACAGTTGTCTTGCAATCATGAATGCTTTGAGAAATCAGCAATTTACTGATCTGCTGAATGACTTCCTATATTTGTCATTCTCATAACATTCTGCAGAGTCAGTATTGGGGTGATGCAGAATCTGATTATAGGTGTTTCCTAAATAAAGTTATTTTACAGTTAATTTTGAAAGTGTCCTAACACTTCAATTTTTATAAATTAACTTCACTTCCCTGTCAAACCTGTTTTCAAAATGGTGTTGTCATTGTCCATTTTAACAGGGAGATGCTGTTTTCCAGCATACTCACTCTCAGAAATGTTGGTGAGGCAGTCTTGCTTTTGTGAGCAATATAACCAGTTTAGCTTTAATTATAGTTTCACTGGTTAACTTGGCTGCACATTGTATGCTGACCTCCTGGTGTCGGCTCGCTTTGCCCTCCATGCCTGTCTCCTCACCAGGAAATAAAAAAAAATAAAAATCTTTATGGCTCTTTGTTATGGCTAATTTAATCCTATAGGAAGTTTTATTATTATTACATACTGTTTGGTTGTAGAGATGGTTGAAAACACTCCTTTCATTAAAAAACCAACCCCACATTAAATAATTAAACCTAATCTATTTGCATTTCCCCCTGTTAATATGCAATGCAATCTTTCTTTAGAGCTGTGACTTTTACTGAGCTAAGGATGAGGTCAGAGGAACTGCCTGTAACTTCTGAAATATTTGTGATTACTGTAATTTTTTTGTAAACTGTTCCACAACCAGAGTTTTCCCTCTCAGCCAGTCAGGAGTCCGGCTTTGAGGACTGTTATACATATATACCACTAGATTAATTCTTGAAAACCAGTTATTTATATGACAATCTAGGAGAGAAAATATGAAAACTGCAATGGGTCTGTTTTAAGCCTGTTAATTTACTACAAACCACAGTGCCATCCTATCATGTAAGAATATAAATTATTAACAGAATAAACAGAAATCCCATTATTCAAGTACTGCCTAGGTTTCTAGACACTTTACAGGTGTAGTTTATTCTCTGCAAATTAATACCTCTAGAGAGTTGCTTGCATGCATAATTTAACTTTTTCTTCTGGTTAAAAAAAATCAGTCCTCAACTTCAGACCCCAACAACGTAATTGTGTTTTCTTGTCAGGAATGGCTATGATATTTTGAGACCTCTCCTGTAAGTTAGCATAATACCCCTCTTTACCTCAAGTTGCTATCCTGATGAGTAAAATTGAGAACAGGTTTTTATTTCTAGGTTTAGAGCTCCCCCCCTTGATCATACTTTCATTTGCAGCAGCTGTATCTGCTTTAATTGCCTTTGCTGCTGCTGCTGTTTAGCTCTCGGTGTAATGCTTTTCGTCACACAGGTGTAAGTTGTGGACATTCATCTGCAAAATGGGTGTAGTGAAACCTTCATTTAGTTGTGAGAACAGAAGGGCTAATGTGTGAGGCTTGTACAAATTGGCTGGGGGGGGGGGGGGCAAATCCTAAGGAATTTAAAAAAATAACAGTTTAATGGGGTTTAATAAAAGGTAAAGCTGGAAATGAAACAGGAAAAACATTGTATGGGTAAACTGTCACTTAAAATGATTGAATCACCACAGCCTTATATGTTGCAATGTATCTGAGGAGCAGGGAGAGTTAATGATGTCTGTGCTCAGTGAATTGTAAATGCGATGTAAAGGTGTCTTATGTGAATGTCTTTCTCTGTTTTTCATATTAAAACATTTTACTTTTTGCTTTGGGCTAAGAGCACACACATGTTCAGTTGTGTGTTAAATTCCAGTGATGAGATGGTTTTTGAGAAAATGCTGTAGGCCTGGCCAGGGCTGGTGAGGGAAGTGGCTTAAGACTTATCTCTTAAGTCACTTAAACTTAATTAAATAAAAAAACTAGAAAATACATCGCAGGGAAAACTTGTAGTGTTTTGATAGTGGATGTGCAGTGCTTAAAGACATGCATTGTTTTGCAAGTGTTCAAGGCACTAGTTTAATCAATAAAAGATGTATATGTGTGTTTGCAGGGCTGAGAGAGACCTACCTTATCTGTATTTTTTTCAATTCAGTAAATTTAGTATTGGCTGTTCTGGCTGGTGTGATGAAAAGCATGCATTCCATGTTTGTAATCTTAGGAAATGATGAATATAATGTATAATAGTTTTTCCATACAAAATGCTGTAATAAACAATAACCCAAAAATAAATATATACACTTCTTTTGTTACTGTGTGTCTAATAGCTTCAGAGTTAAGATGCTATGATATGAAGACTGTAAAGTGCTCATCTGTCTTTTGTGTTTGTGGGGTTAGATCATATACTGTGAAATAGGTGGTATTCATCATCCTGGTGCCTTAGTGGTCTGTTGAAGTAGTTACTGCTTGGAAAATTTTTTTTTTTCTTTCTTCCTACCACAGGGACAAAGATGCCACTGTTAATGCTGAGGAGATGTCTGTCTGTCTACTGAGAAACCTAGGTATAAGTTTTGCTGCTTCTCTTTTGATTGTTTAATTTTTGTAATGGATCACCATGTTTTGGATAAATAAGCAAGCAGTCTCCTCTTATGTTCTTGATCAAGGGCTTATGGCAAAATAGAGGATGTCTTTCTGCTCACACTTCTTTTAGGGATCTCTCTTCTTTGGGCTAAATAATTTTGCTATGCTGTAAATATCTAATTTACATTAATCCTGGTTCCATACCTTCTGTCTATTATACATATTGCTGGTTCAAGTTACGGTTATTCAGCAGTCATTGCTGGCCTTTTGGCTGATACTATGATGCACTTGAGAATTTACTTGCACTGTGAAGAAAAGTGCAATACTATGTATTAAAAACAAGATAAGGGATCAGTATTAACAAGAAATCCCATACGCTGAATCTTTTTTTTACATTGGTGGTAAATAAGCAAAATTGCTCTTCATTGGGTGGTAGATATGTGTAAGTAAGGGAAAAAAGCAAGGTAAGTTATTCAAGGTAGTGCTACTCAAAGCACTCACTACAAATTGTTCTACTCAAAGGGAATCTTCTGGTTTAGGAATTACTAACAGTATTGCTATGCTAAGAAGCAGGAAACATGAATTGCATTCCAAATTTGTGAGTTTGGCTGGAAATAATAAATCTTGTTTACATTTTTGCCTTTGTTTTTTTGTGCCTGTAGAGTGCATTCAGATCACATTTCCTAATCTTTCTCTGTCAATGCAAAGGCTAAAACTTCACATTTTTTAGGCCAAGACTCTCCAAAAAGGTTGGCTAAACATGAAATATTGTGAACCTGTAAGGCACACAGCAAATACAAAATTTTTACTTCTTACAATACTAATTCCATAATCTCCCTTTGTATGCTGCATGAAATTTAAAATGCTCAAATTAATGAGTTTAGTACGAAAGATTACATATGATACTGACAAATATTTATCCAGTACAGGCTGCTTGTGTAAAAGGATCACTTAAATTACCTGAAATTACCTAACTACCTTTTGTTATGTTAATTTATAGCACTCCCTGGGCTTCCTGATAAAGAATTCTTCTGATACAAGAATGTCTGAATGTTATAGCTGTGAAAGTATATTGAAATTTCTTCTTTTTGTCTTTTTTTTCCTCTTTTCTTAATCTTCTTATAGATGGGAAAATAGTTTTACCAGGAAACCTCTTGGCTTTCACTTTCTATGGGAAACTTTGTAACTTTGTGGTGATGAAAGTGAAAGGAACTGATGGTGCAGAGCTGACTGCCCAGGGCAGTGCCATTTCGAGCGATATGCATGAGCCAGACCTTGAAAGATCCGATTTGGAGACAAGTACATTAGATTTGTCCTTACAGCTCTGCAAGATGGACATTGAGGATAGTCCAGAGGTTGCATCTACCAGCACACCAAGCAAACCAGTGGATCCAGGTTCACCAGTTACGCCCAGTTCTGCTGTGGCAGCCAGCGGTCGAGACTCCGGTCAGGGAAATAAAATCCACAGCAAGGGAGATGATGCAGACCTCACCGACGATTTGGAGTTGACTGGGAAAGGAAGCAGTGAGGGACTCCCACTAACTGGCAATACTGGAGCAATAAGCAATACAGATGATTTTTATTTAATTTCTTCAAGAACTAGAATCAATTTTATTGAAACGAGGACCGATGTTGCGGAAGATGGTGATTGTGAATCCAGAGTCACCTATAATATGATAGGAGGTTTAAGCAGCCAACTCAGAACTATTAGAGAAACAGTTGAACTGCCCTTGAAGCAAGCTGAACTGTTCAAGAGTTACGGTATGATGCCTAAGAGTTGGCTTTCTTCATTTGATACTAGTTTTTTTTCTTTAACGTGACTTTTTTTTTTTTTAAACTAAGTTATTCCAGGAATATGCACTGAATTTTGTGAAACACTAATCTGATATACTTGTGTGTCCAAACAATGTCCAACTGTTTTATAATTATACTGTATGGATGCTATGAAGATGTTACGATTAGCTTGTGTGAAAAATAATTGAGTAGGAAAGAAATATGCATCTCTAAGAAAATTCAGGGATGCAGAATTTATAGCAAATAGGAAAGACTTCTATACTTGGGCATTTGAAAGGTGCAGATGTTTGTGTCATCATAAGATTTTAATTTGTTTTGGTAGAGTCAACTAATCATATTTTTTAAGTTGAGAAAAACTCAGGGATAAAAACAGCAAAAGAATTAATCTTACTGTGTGTTTGCAGGGTTCCTGCAAAATTTTAAGAAAGTTTTTGAGGCTGTCTACTCAAACTGCTTAGTGTGTTTAGTATGGAATTCCAGGGTGGAAAACCTAACATGGTTGCTGTTGCCATGTATAAAGTTATAACTAACATACGTATGAACTTAGAGGATTTTCGTGACAAAGATAAAACTCTGTACTGTGTATTTATTACAAATGGATATGTATATAAAGCAGGCATGTCTGCTGATTGTACTTGTCTAGAGGTGCATCACTGTGAGACAGGGCTCTTATCTATAAATATTTCTTTAATATCATGTCTTTGAGGCTTTTTTTTTCTCTGCCTTACCTCTTCCCGCTCATACACTGTAGAGAGGAGGTGATTTCAGTGATCACTGGGACAATTTCTGTAAGACATAGGTGGCTCTTTTGGTGCGAGTTGTTTGGGTACGATCTGCTGGTGTCAGTGGGATGGTGTGAGGTGTCTTCATCTGCCTGTGGTCCGGCTCAATTGGCTGATCTCCAGCCTCAGCGTCACCACACGGTTTTGTGTTAGCAGAAAGTTTGCTTCAGCAGCAGCATTCTTCATATTTAGTCCCAAAAGTGCTTGATCAGATTCTCTACTAGTTACATGAGAGATGATGATGTTTCCTCACCAGTTACAAAGCTTTAGTAGCTATCCAATTGTTGAGAGTCCTTGTGTGCCCGTGCGGAGTGAGGCTGTCAGCTGAGGTGAGATCTTTGGTTCAGATACCAGAAACACCACATGAGGGAGTAGCACACGCTTTAATGGACTGTTGTGAAGTAACCTGTCTGTAAAGACACTTTATTTCTATCCTCTGTCAGTTAGTACGTAGTTTTTGCCATTCTGAGTATATTAGTTCCCGATTCCGGCTTTCTGTCTGCACCGGCAGTATTATTCTCGGTCACCACTGGGATGTGACCTGCCTTTCAAGCAGTGTTCCCTGTCTGGTATTGCAGTACCCAACTGATGTTTCTTTTTTTGGTTCTGTTTCAGCAATGTCTTTTATGCCAGAGTCCTTTGTCAAACATTTGTCTCTTCTTTTTGCTTTCTAATTGTTCACCTTCTGTTTTTGGCTTAGTGCCCTTTTAATTTGGCTCTGCTGGTCTGAAAGATTTTATTTTTTTTGGCTCTTTACCTGGGATCATATTATTACTTCATGCAGTTACCTGTAGTTTCTGTCCAGTTTTAATTGTATCTTGTTCTTCTAATGTCCCTTATGTTCTGTGCCTGAATGTTTTTGTCTGTTTTGGCCCTTAACATTTGCCATTAAAGAGGCAAATTCATCCTTTTGATGTGTGTTTTTCATCTTTTTGTAAGTGTTCTTGAACCAAGCCTCACAGTATTTCTGAAAATTTTTGGAGTGTTGAGGAGAAGTGGTTTTCTGGTGTTGGAAATTTGTAATGATGACTCTGTAAGAATCATGAATAACTTAATAAAGTATATTCATGGACGTTAGGTACTCAGTCCAATAATTTTTTGGAAAGAAACCCAAACACACACCACAACGCATAGGAAGAATTATAATGTTGAACTACTGAAAAATATAGTGATTTAAATAGTTGCTTTTTAAGTGGAATCATTTGGACTTTAAAAAGTGTAGATGTATGTCCCATAAAGAGTGATCTTCCCACTGAAAGCCTATAATTTTATCAAAATATGTCTGTTAAAGAATTTAATGCTGAGGTCAAGTTGTAATTGGTAATAAGTAGGACAGTCAAATGTGCAAGTGCAGGTTGTTCAGTCTGGCATTTATCAGAAATAACTTTCTTCTCTGTGTGCATGTGCTTGTTTAAAGGAATCCCTCCTCCTAGAGGAGTGCTATTATATGGCCCTCCAGGTACCGGGAAGACTATGATTGCCAAAGCCATTGCAAATGAGGTTGGCGCTCACGTTACCGTTATTAATGGTCCTGAAATAATAAGCAAGTAAGTCCACCCAATTTATTTTCATTAATTCTATAAATATATTAGCCCCAAATCTGTTCTGGCATCTATCCATTGGATAGATGCAGATGTAGAATTGGCTATGGGCTATCTGCCCAAGAGAGTCAAAAACAAACGGGAAAGGGTTCTCTCAAGTAGGGCTTATGTTTCTTTTGTAATAAAAGAGGTTTATTGGATTTGGCCAAGAAATTTGTGTAAGGCATGGGCTAAATTAAAGAGCAGACTAAAACTGCATCTGCAATTGCATGTTAGTTCTGTAACAAGACAAGTGACTTGTTAAAGCATATTTTGAAATTAAAATATGATACTACACAGATTAATGTATCCAGGGAAGTAATTTTAATTTTGTTCTTTAAAAAAGATAGATACAATTGTTTTTAACACAGAAGAGAGAAGCTTTTCCCTTTAATCTTTTTTTTTCTAGTTACAAGACAGTTATAATCTTTTCCTGTGCCCCATTTTACCTTAATTTCTTATCCTTGTGGAAATAAAGATTATTGTAGATTTGCATGTACTTTGGGACTTTGAAAGGGTGTGCTATGGCTTTTTGGAACACACAAGCAATAATTTTCCAAGTTGCCTGGAATAGACCAAAAAATGTTTTTCATTAAAATATTTTAATTATTATAGGTTTTATGGGGAGTCTGAATCAAGATTGCGTCAGATATTTGCTGAAGCTTCTCGGCGGTATGTTCTCTTGGATAATTTTATTCCCTCTCACTTATTTGCGGTATTGGTTCCAGCGTTAATGTTCTTAAAAGAAAAACATTTGCAAGAATCTTTGAATTGTAACTTTTTCCTGCAGTGGTTTTTAAAAGGAAATAAATTTGTTTATATAGAGCTTAGCTAGAAGGAAAGCAGTGAAATTCTAGTATGCCTATTAAATGTTTTTGGACACTATGCTTTTTAAGGGACTGTTACAGATAGTGCCAAAACGCTCGATCTGTATCGTTAGTGCATTGTACGCTTATTTCAACAGATGGAAGCTTGAGCAAGTGTTTCACCTGGATCCAAATTTTCCTGCCTGGTTTTATCTTTGGAGACCAATGTAGTACTGTGCTGAGACATGGAAGCCAGCTCTAAATGAGCTAGTGTTGGTACTCGATATAGCATGCCTCTGGATTAGGGTGGCATTCTGCCCAAATTTATTAGACCTGGTTAAGGCAGACTTTAGACTTCCAGATGATGGTGGTTGTTGATAATACATTAGCAAAAGACTATCGCATCCTGTATTTTTTGAAGTGGCAGATAAAATGCTGTCTTTTTACTCATGAAATTGGTATATTGAGTGTTGAGACTTTGGGAGAGAGTCATAGAAAAGTAGATTGGTAGGTAATCTTAAAGGTATTAGTTGTCTAATATATTAGTTATTTTAGTTATCTCTGAGTAACACCATATTCAAGGTTGAAACTTTCAGTTGCCCAGAGGAGTGGGATGCTTGTTAATTTTTGTAGAAACTGGACATTTTCCATAAGCAGCTTTGCACTTCTCTGCCTTGGTGTTTTAAATCTTCCTGTGCACCTTAACACTTTTTTTTTTCCTCTTCTCCCCCTCCGGCAGTCAGCCCTCCATTATATTTATAGATGAGTTGGATGCACTCTGTCCAAAGAGAGAAGGGGCTCAGAATGAAGTTGAAAAGAGAGTTGTTGCTTCATTGCTGACGTTAATGGATGGCATTGGCTCAGTAAGTAGACCTTATTGAGACAATGTATATGGGGACTAGCTGAACAAAATAAATTTGCTTCTATAATGCAGCCAAATATAGATGCATCATTCTGGGGGAAAGAAAATAGACTTAGGTAAAACTTTATATAGTAATCTAGTGCTTTATTGCATGCTAGGCAGAAGACATAGGATGGGAATGTCTCTTAATAATTGAGATAAAAAGCAAGTTTTCTTACATTCACTGTCTTTGCTTTCTCCCACTATTGTAGTTTTAGAGATAAAACTGAAATTTTAGTGAAAGTCTATCATTGAACTAAGCCAGGTATTTTTAATTGCTCTGAAATCAAAGTCATCAAAATACTTCTGGTGATATGTATGTAGGTTGCATTATTTCTCATTATTTTCTTACACGATAGTTGGTGTTGCCCAGTCTGGAGTTATTCACAGGCAGAACATATTTTCTGATGGCAAAGGCTGATGGGTACTTTTCCTGGAGAAAGTGCCTTGTTCACAAAAAGAGAATGGCACTGCAAGAGACCTTGTAGCTGATTTTGTGTCGCTCTAAAAGTGAAAAAGCAGAGCTTGAGGAAATTGGTTAACATGTTTGACCTTGCTTTTCCTACTGAACCTACAGGAAGCTTTATAACCTCCTGTCTCTGCTGGTTTTGATACCCAAGATTTGTTTCCCAATCTTGTTTATTCAAGGTCTGTTCATACCTTTTTGTTCTTGTGCCAACGCTGCCTTTTAGCTTAACCAGTTATTTTTCTTTCCTTGGTGCACAAGTTCCTGATATAGAAAAGCAGGATCTTGGGGATTAGAGTGGGAGACACTGGGATGAGGGCATCTAGGACTAAAGTTTCTCTTGTATGATCTGTACGTGTGTGCAGCCTATAGTATTGCTAAATTGCAGTTAGGGATAGGTTGGATGGGATCACTTGTGGGCTATGTATTCTGAAAAGTTTGCTTTGTTCCTTGAGAGCTAGCGTCAGGGTTTTAGTGCGTGTAATAGCTGGAAAAGGCAAGCAAGAAGTGTGTTTATAAGCTGTGTGACATTTGATTGTATTTTAAAATTAATATTTTGCATTGTTTGATGCCTTCAGGAGGGCAGTGAAGGGCAGCTCTTGGTACTTGGGGCCACTAATCGTCCTCATGCACTGGATGCAGCGCTGCGCAGACCTGGGCGTTTTGATAAAGAGATAGAAATTGGAATTCCTAATGCCCAAGACCGTCTGGATATTCTACAAAAGCTTCTCAAGAAAGTTCCCCATTCGCTTACAGCAGCAGAGTTGGTGCAACTGGCTGATAATGCGCATGGTTATGTGGGTGCAGATTTAGCAGCCTTGTGCAAAGAAGCAGGTAAGACTTTGTGTATCTTATTTAGGATCTTACTTTATTGCTAGTCTCTTTATTTTGTTTAAAAAAATAAAAATCCACAGTCTGTACTAATAGCTTTCAAACCAATGAGATTTAATTAATTTTTGTGTCAAAGAAAACATAGCCAAGCATGGAATATGAGGAACACCAGTCTGCTCCTGGGCAGATAAAAAAAAAAATCTTTTCAGCAATAATGGATTTTAAAATCAAATGTGAAGATTAATAACGCTGGGGAATCACCTGTGCCATTTCTAGCATATTAGCTAGCTAGCTCTCAGTTTACCAAGGGTTTAGTGAGTTAACTGACGTAGCCCTAAGAGTTCTTCTACTCTAGAGCCTACCCCTTCTGTACAAAAATCTCAAGTCACTCAGGCTAGACAGCTTGTCCTGCAGGTCCTTGTTCCCAGGATGTTGAGACTGTGGGCCTAAGTGGTGTTTACTGTGGCTCCCTTACGTATTTTGCGCCTGTATTTCATTTGCCTGCAGATGAGGAGCTTGTGACAGGGGCTAGGGGACTGTACGCACCTGGGTTGGGTTGTGCAGTGGAGCTGGGAGAACTGGAGAGCACACCCTGAACTGGGAGCTGGAAAGTGTCCCTTGGCCTCTGGTACGCGCGTAACCCTGGAGAATTATCCATGCGTTGTGCAGCCAGGGTTCAGTATGTTCCAGGGAATACTTAAACATGAGTTCACTTCTGTTTTCATTGGATGAAATATTAAAAGTATGCTCTATCAATTCTTACATTTTGCTAGAATGTGTCTACGCGGTTTAAGTGTTGGACCTTAAATCTACCCATGAACAGCCTTTTTGAAACAGTCTAGTCAAAATATGACTCTTCAGCTCTGCTTACGCATATTTCCTCCCTTGTAGTTCACAAATATAAGTTTGCTGCATGTGCTGGTTACTTTTATTTCCTTTGGCACAGGGACAGCTTCCTCTGGCAGTGGCACAGTGCATGGTTAATTCTTGCATCAGAATTAACTATGAAGATGACAGAAGTTTTATTAGGGGTGATGGCAACTGGAACAGCAAGGTTTTTACTTGCCAGTTTTCAGAATTTCTAAGGGATAGTTCTCAAATATGAATTTGTGGACTTTTGCTTGGATCAAGGCAAAAAAAAAAAATGTATGGACACAGACTGTTGTTTTTATAGTGCTCTTCCGTTGGCTTTGCTAGTGTTTTAAGCTCTGTTTTAAATTAACAAACTTTTTTAAAAAAACAAATATATATAAACAACAACAACAAAAAGATAAACTCACTTTTTATTTTCCTTCCTCTGTGTTTTTGGAAGCCTATCAGTCTGCTTGTGTCACAGTCCTTATACATAGTAAATACTGAACTAATGTAATCTAAAATTTTCAGTGAAAAGTGTTGTGGTTTCAATTCCAAACATGACCCAGCCTAGGCTTTACTTGTTCATGCACACATCGATTCTGGACAATTCATAATCCAGCTGCAAATAGGCGATATTTACCCACTTCACGAAGGCCTTTTAGAAAATAAATTTGAATTTTGTGCTACATAGTTCTAAAACTTCTGGCATCTACCTGCGGCTGATTGCAGGACACGCTGTTATCTGGGAGCTTTGCATCCAAAGCCAGTGCTGGGAACGAGGGAAGGAGGGTGTCTCCTTTTTATTGATCTTCTTTCCTAAAGTTTGAATCCATGCTGTTAAATTTCCTTGTCATTTGTTAACTTGGAGTGACCTCTGCTGGAGAGAAGACAGTCTAGCGCTGTTAACTCTTTGCAGCCCACATGTATTTTTTCCTTTTCAAAGAGTTGCAGAAGCATGATTTGGTCAAAGTATTACATAAAATGAATTTAAGTTGCTCATGGTTAAGGAATGTTCTTAGTTGGATTTTTTTGTTTCTGATTAAGCTCTTGATATCTATTTTTTTATATTAAATATTCAGCACTTTGTAAAATATTACTGCTTTCATTGGAGTTAAACTTAGAAGAGACTAGCTTTTATGAGGTAATATTTCTCCTCAGCAGAGCAAGGTTATTCCATAAGGCAAATTTTTGAGTGTTTTGTCTAGTCTTATTTGTTGTTCCAAGCAATGGGCTTCTATTGCTTCACTTACGAAACTGTGCCGTGGGCCAAGATAGCTTGCTGTCCAGGAATGCTCTCTGATATTCAGCCTAAGTTTTCCTTGTTTAGTTTTATCCCATTATTTCTATTTACATCCTTGTATAACACGTTCACTCTCCCTCCTTAGTGTTTACACCCTTCAGATATCTCTAGGCTGTTCTCATGTCCCCTACCTCCTCATTCATTACTGAGCCAAACTATAAATATTTAGCTCTTTTAATCTTTCCTCATAAATAAGTCCTTCCTGCCTTCTGAGAAATTATGTTGGTTTTCTCTGAACTCCCTCCAGTTTGTCAGCCTTTTGGTAATGTAGGGCTCAGAATTGAATATAATATTTCGTATATATTACAACATAAAACATGACATAAACACATAGTTTATATCATAGAGTTAAGAGTTCTTTCACAAATTTTAAGGTTACTTGTGCCACTTTCACACATGATATGTGCGTAAGTACAGGTGAAACATGGAAACTAACTTAGAAGCAGGAATTCTGAAGTCAGAAATACGCATTCAATTTTTGGTACAAGATTATTGTCACTTGTTAATTGTATTGCAGTAGTGGTCTTTGGGACACTCTTGAGTCCTGGTTACCCTGTTTATATCTTTAGGTACTTCATTTGTGGCTGGAAAGCCTGCAAGTTTACAAGTTAAATATGTTTATATTCTTAATACAAAGTTTAGATAATTTCCATAGGCCTCATCCTTCCTTATCTTTATACTTCAACTCTGGTTTTTTAACACATATATAATATTGTGTATATGCTGCTTGTATAAACCAAGGATGTAGTAATTAATGTAACGTGGTAAATGTAGTAATTGCAGGGCTATGATAGGCAAACCTTTCACTTTTGCGTCTATAGTTAGGTTTCCTAAGATACTTCGTTATAAAAGCTTTGATGTTTGTCTTCTATATAATTCTGAAGAACAGATGTTAATAAAATTAAATAGGTATTGTAGAGTTAAGCAGATACCAACTGTTTTCTTGGCAGAACTTGGTTGTTCTCCAGTGCAAGAATTGCTTAGTGGTACCTCTGGGGTCAGACAGGCAAGTTTTCTATTCTGTTCAGCAACTCTGTGCATTTTCATGGAAGTCATTAAGAAGTTTTAGGAGTCTTTAATGTTCAGCTTGTGCTGAATGTTTCTAGGCCTGTGTGTATATGATGTGTACAGAATTGCAGTGTTGTGCATGCTGGAATGAGCAAGGAAAGGAAGGGTGGACAAGAAACCTGGAGATTCTGTGCAGTGTGTTCTGAACTTTTCCAAACACTTTATTATGATCAAACACCTGTGAAATATTTGTATATAGGTGGATATAATAATCAGTTAAGGGTGTTTTTATTTGATCTGCTGAATTTTTAAAGTATTAGTGGATTTTTCTTAAAAATTAATTCTTAAATTTAATTCTTAAAATTAAAAGTAATACTGGTATTTTTAACATGGCAAGTATCACTAGCTTAGATGCAATGCTTTCAGAATTAGTGTACCTCATCTCTGTTCAAGGTTACGTTATCTGTAGCGACTACCTTGGACAAATTGGGATCTGCTGTGATTCTCTACTGTCTAGCAATATGCTTGTGATTTCCACAGTTAACAGCATAGCATGGAAAACCTGCAAATACCTTGATGGGCACTGGATCACATCCTGTGGACATCAGCTTGCAACAGGCTCCTTGTGGTAGACTCTTGAGGACTTGAGTACCCTCAGAGGGATTCACAGGCACAGAAATTTTGACAAGAGGAGGACTTAGTTATGTGTGCAGCTGAGAGAGTCATATTCTTAAGACTGAGAGAGGTCTACTGTGTCCTAAATTACTCAGTAGACTACCTTTTAGTGTGAACAGCTGCCTTCTGAATTGTTTTATCTCAAGCAGAGGCAGTATCTAGAAGATAGACTCTGCCATATCCTGGCATGTAATGTCAGTGTTCGTATGCCCCTGAGATCTTGTCGCTTCTGCTTTAATTAATTGGCCACACAGTCTTTTATTAATTCCCTAAAAAATTATAATGGTTTTAATTCAACAACAAAGATAAGCACTGTGCTCTTTTTTTTTTTTTTTGAAAAACATATGAAATGTTAATTATGTAGCAGGGACATGAATGGTATAAACTGTACTGAATGTTAGAAGATGCTTAGCAACAAAGGTTTCCAAATATAGCAATTTATTATAAACTTATCCTTCTATGGCTGCCTGTAGCATTTCAAGAGGGTGAATATAAATATAGCTTGATTTCTTCAAGAAGTGGGTTCAGTTGTATTGTTTACAGAGAAAGGAAGTATTTGCTTTGTAACTCTTAGACTTTATCTTGAACATCCTTGTTCATTACACATAATTTCAGTGTGCTGATATAAAACACTTGGACTGTGATAAGATAGCATCATGAGGAGAGGAAGAACAAATGTCTTTGTTTAAATAGTGGTCTCTCTTGCAATAACATCTATTTGGTTCCAGTGAGGATGCTGCTTTGCAGCCACTGAAACTTTGAGACTTTTGTGAAAGGAGCACTAATCACTTTGTTTTGCATCAGAGTTTTATTAAATTGCCTGATTGTAATGCAGTTAAAGGTATCACCTTGCTTACCCTTTAGGATTATAACGGCTCACTGGTTTGAGCTGGCTGTTACAAAAAAATCTTAGAGAAATAAGAAATTGAGCTACATCTTTGACCAGTATGAATCAGCATTACTCTGCTGAATCTGTGAAGCTACTTGCTTAGAGATATGATATAGTCTGTTGTTTTTTGTTCATAATTTTAAGAGTCCTGTTGTCTGGACACCTTATTGTCTATGGTATTCATTTGGCCCTTTTATTATCCCTGTGTTCTGATGAATAATACAGCTAGGATGGAGAGGTTTTGTGCTGCTTAATTGATAGCTCTGTGTATTGATT